TATTATGAAAGCATAAGTTTACTAGATTGGTTGAAAAACTTACAACTTAATTAAAATTAATATGATATGTTGAATTACTATTAAAAATTGAGTCTACTTCGATGTAATTCAAATATCTCTTACGGTTTAATCAAATAATGAAATTCATTAAAACGCTCTTTTTTTGTCGAATTATCTTACATTTTGTGTTTTATTATCATCTTGACATCTTAGAATTTTTTGGAATTCATTCTCTTACTAGACCGTCAGATAAACCAGTGGCCAATTTTTCTATGAAATAGAAAATATCTTAAAAACATTTGAATCACACAAGAATCAACTTAGATTTTAATTGTGAATCAAAATATCATATTAATTTTGATTAAATCATAATTTTTCTAACTAATCTGCTAAAAACTAGTAAAATGCAAAAAATTATTTCTCAGAAATAGTACATTCCGACCTTTTCTAAAACTTTTGTTTTCAAAATCTTCACAATGGTTTTGTCGAGCGCGAAGAGTCAATTTAAGTTTGTTGTGAGATATTGATTAATATAAAATAAAATATTTCTTAATTTCGTCCATTAAACGATCCTGTTGATGAATGCTTGATCGTCTGGCAAGACTTCCTTTTAACTAGGGGTGGTACTTTACTTTTACTTTATAAAATAAAGATAAATGAATCCTTTACTCTTAAAAAATAAAGATAAATGGATCCTTTATTTTTAAAAAATAAAGATAAATGATCATTTATTTAAAAGAAAATAAAGTTAAATAAATAAAGGAATACTTTATTTTTAAAAAATAAAAGAAAAATAAAGCAATAAATGATACTTTTTACGACAACAGATAATGTAATTAGAAAAGCACTGAAATCATGGAATAAATTTGCAGAGAGATTACTACGGTTTAAAAATGTAATTCGATTTAAAATACGCTTCCTAAGATGAAATTCAAAAATAACAGAAATGAAAGCTTTATTTCTGATTTTCTAGGATAGTAAGAAAGAGGAAAATCTTCTTCTAACATTCTAATGTGATCAAAAGCTTTCTACGTATTCGGACATCTTTGTGGAGCTTTGTTTCAGAATCATAGATTGTCTCCATTGGATCGATTATCATTCAATCTTCATATTTCTAAATAGAAGTTATTTATTATTTTGAATTTTACTTCTAATTATTTACAACCTTGCCCAATATACTCTATATTTTGCTATCTT